CCATCGAATTCCAGCCACGACCCTCATATACTTGACCGTCACCACCGATCAAGAAGTTGTAACCAATATCGGGCCAACCTAAAGAGTCCATATGGTAGCTCTGTATGTTGCGCATTTGTTGAGCGCAGGAGGCTTGGGTAGAGCAGTAAGCACCAGCGGTATGATGGATAACGGCATAACTCAAGTAGTTGTTCAACCAAACACGATTGGTGGGCTGACGACCACCCCATTCGGCGCGAGAGATGACCCGTACGCTGAAAACTGCTTGTGCACAGCAGAGAGCAGCTAGCAGTGTGATGAGAGCCTTGACAGTCATTTTTCTAGTTGATTTGTATTAACAGTTTGAATGCAAAGCGGAAACTGATGGCTTGAGTGGACTAATGTGGTGGCTTTTATATTAGAAGAATGAATCACATAGTTTTTCTTAATAGAACATTCCAATAATTGAATTATATATAGGCATATCCACAATCATTGCTTCGAGAGATCCAGTAAATCAAAAGTAATCCCATTATATTCTTAATGAAATATTTTTTTAATTTAGTTCAATGAGATACATAAATCAGTAGTTAAGAAAGTTTATTACCTTGATTGCGGCAAGTTGGGTTGATAACAAAAGTTCTTGTTGTAATTTCAGCTCAAATATACCTCACTTATTGCCATCGGATGTACGCAGTGAGTGTTATGAATCACAAAAAAAGAACCAGTTTCTTGGAGCGCAGGCGCCAATCTTATTTTCTTTAACCCAAATATAGACTGTTTTCATATCATATATAGCATAGTTTCAGGAGTGAATTGTTCTCTTAGCTGCTACAGTCTCTCTAGTCGCAAAGCTTCGCAACAAAAATCCTCTTACGGCCTTCAACTCCTTATAGTTGAATTACGAACTTCAACTGTTTTCAGTCGAAGTCTCATTTGTATCAACTTAAGAGAAGCATAAGGCTCCAAAGTTTTTACTTTAGCCAAAAAACTTTTTCCTGGTACAGTAGATCGTGTCTTAGCTTCTTTTAGTTTTTCTTAATTTGGGTTTGCCTCGTTTTTTTTCCACGAGTATCATATACACGAAACTTTGTGGTTTCTATGTAGTATTTCATATTAATATTTTTCCAAATTAAACCTACAAGTAATACCACGTAATAATGCTACGTTTGTTTTCCCTCTATCTCAGAGTTGAAAACCATAATAGCAAAACAGAGTTGAAGTTTTATAAATCTTCTACCGAAAGTTTTTTTGACAAGTTGATTTGTTATCGGTGATACCGAATTTCAAGACATCAACCAAAATGCGGTTGAGTTGAAAACCGTAATAAGGGTTTGGAGAAAATACCTGTCCAACCTACGTCATTTATACCCATTTTTTGGGTTGCAACTCCACTCGGTTGAATTGAAGTTGAAGCAACTTAAATTTAGATCAACCCAACTCTTTTTTTTTGGTAATAGGATTTTCAACTATTTTCAGCCCAAGTTCGATTGGTGTTAATAACGTAAAAAATTATGATTTCACTGATAATTAAACAGCTGAAAATTGTTAAACCAAAAATTAAAACAATTTACTTCAGTTATTGCTCACTAAAAGGTGATTAATTATTACAAAGGACATTAGTTTTTATTTATATAACGATGACAAACATGTTGGCCAAAATTGATGTGGAGCGAATAAGAAAATCCATCGTGAGCCCTCAAATCCATTCGAACTACCTAACACTAAGCAAGCTAAGGTTTTATTGATAACACAGTACAACAGCTAATATGGGGGGTGAGAAATTCCAAGTCAGGGTGATGGTAGTAGGTCAGTAGAGTAAAACCCTCAAAGGGTTTGGTGTTCGTATGTGTCAGTTTCTTTTATGACCTTTTGACCTCATGACCGTATGACCCCTTTTTTCCTTATCTTGATGTTTTTTCGCTTAGTTGTAACATTTTGGCAAAAACCAAAAAATAATTGATTAAAGCAGTTGGGAATTATAATAAAATAGTTTTTTTTACCCATTTTCCTTTTTTATTAATGTTTTTCCTAAATAAATTCCGAACTGGTTAACTACAATTGCTTGTTAGCATTTCACATTTTTTTTTTTTTTTTGATACTATAGCTACAGACACAGAGTTGAAAACCGTAAAACCAAAAAAAGCTGACAACACTTCAAACGTTTTCGTTTCGTTTTTAGGGGGTTGAGTTGAAAACCATTATACCGAATTTTAAAATTTTAACCAAAATTCAGTTGGGTTATAAGCCATAATAGGAGCCTTAATGATGGGTATATTCATTAAAAACGTGAACTTTTGAAGAGTCCTCAATGGAGTACAGTTATCATGACATCTTCCTATATCTCACAATAAAATACGCTCTTCAAAAGGGGATTCACTTTATTTTTGAGTATTGAAATTAACAATTTCTTGGTCTAGTGATAAGTTAATGTCCCACCAAGTTTGAATTATGGCATTACTTAGCTGTTCAGAGTTATATAAATTTCAACAGAGAATTTTAATAAGTTTTAATGGCAAGTAATAATAATTAAAGTCATAAACTTCTTAACGATAAGACTAAAAAGCTAACGGTAGTAGAAGTAGTTTATATTTTGTCATTAAGGAAACCTGTAAGAAACTACTTTCGCTTGTCTAAAAATAATGTACTAATTGAATTGCTTATATAATATTTACTACTGTGCCCAAAAAATAAGGTGACATTGTATTTATTTTGAAAATTCTTTATTTATTCTTCCTAAACAATTTCATCCCCTTCAAAGTAATCCCCTCCCGATGCAATGCACTTATGCCAACGGATTTTCCAATCTTCGAAACACTGGTTGTAGTCACTTTCCGGGATGGCCTTCAGTTCCGTCTTCATTGCGGCTTGAATCTCTTCTATCGTATAAAAAGATGTCCCCGGAGCGGTCTTTAGAGCTTGGTGAACAGCCAGAAGTCGCAGGGCGTCAGATCAGGTGAACACGGTGGTTGCGGAACGATATGGGTTGGGTTTTTGGCGAAATAATCACGAATTACGAGGTCGGTATGGGATGGTGCATTATCGTGATGTAAAAACCAAGAATTGTCTTTCCACAATACCGGCCTTTTTAGGCGGATAGCGTTACGCAAACGACGCATAACCTGTCTCTTATACACATCTAGATGTGTATAAGAGACAGGTATGGGATGGTGCATTATCGTGATGTAAAAACCAAGAATTGTCTTTCCACAATACCGGCCTTTTTAGGCGGATAGCGTTACGCAAACGACGCATAACGTTCAAATAATATTCCTTGTTGACTGTTTGACCGGTTGGAAGGAATTCATAATACAACACCACGATAATCGAAGAAAACAGTCAACATGTCCTAGATTTTTGAGATTTGATGCGCTTGAGGCCCAACACATCCTTCAAAATGCTATTGTCTGAGCCTTTCGGTATGTCAACTTCATCAGCAAGGTGTCTAATTGTTAATCGACGGTTTTTCAACACCAAATCTTTGATTTGTTGAACGTGAGCTTCGTCGGTTGAGCTTGATGGTCGCCCTGGGGGCCTATTCTGTAACTCGATTCGAAACAAAATTTACTCGAATTCGGATTTTTTATATTCCGTAACTCGATTTTCGGATTTTCAAGCCAATTTTCGAATAAAATATTCGTTAGCTTTTGAGTTGTAGAGAGCAAAAACGAAAATTGTACATATTTATTCTGGCACAGGGTGGTACAACTATCGAAAAATTATAAAGTTGATCCGAATTTCGAATAGAATACATTTACGAATCGAGATACAGAATAGGGCCCCTTCGTCTTCGACACGTTCACGGACGGCTTGGAACTCACTATACCACTTGTAAACATTCTTTTTAGACATAGCCTCACCACCAAAGGCTTTCTGCACCATCCTCAACGTATCCGCTGCAGAAAATTGATTCCGTAAACAAAATTTAATGCAAATTCTTTGCTCAACAAATTTCGACATCGCAAAAAACGAAAAACTCACTTTTAGCAGCTCAAACACTAATGAATATTTTAACAAGAAATTTGACATAAAGGTGACTGACAGTACTACCAACCTAAAAAAAAAAGAATTCTCCATCCTTCGACGCGCGCAGTTTAAATTGAAATGTCACCTTATTTTTTTGGGCACAGTAGTATATTGCCATGTTCTTAATTAAGAATTCCTTTAATAAATAAGTAAAAACTTGTATGTTTTTTTTCAATTCTACGCTTTTTAGTGCAATTACAGCTTTTATTTTGTTTTACAGAATTACAGTTCCAAAGCTTTAGATTCAGCACTCATTTTTATATCATGATACCAACCTATTAGTATAAGAGTATTTAAAAACTTGTATATTGTGCCTTCTAAGCGTGTTGAAGTCGATGAAGTGTTTCCACAGTTCAGTTACATTATATATTATCCTTTCTCCTAAAGCGTTGTACGAATTTAAAATTTTGCTGAATGGGTGCTCCCAATGATCCGTCTGTCCGGCTTGGAAAAACTAGACCGATTTAAAAGACCCGCATTAAAAATTGTTAACAAATACGTAATTATATATAAGAGATCAAAATTTTTTTAAGCAATTTATTTTAATAATTAGTTGGAAAAGTAACGAAAATAAAAATTAAAAATAAAATATCTACATAAGTTAAAAAATTAATATCAAAGAATATGTTGTTTTCGTTATTTTACTCCTTTATTTTTTCACAAGCGGCAGACTGCTGCAATGCCAAATCATTTTACCGTTAACTGCCGTATTCGAATATGAATATTATTTACTTAACATTGACGCTGTTTACGTAATATTTAGTACATATGTATGTTTATTTCTTTATATTATGTAATATAATATTTAAAATATATGTATCTATGTTTGTAAGTGCATCATAATTATTATTTAATTCAATGCTATTAATAAACAATATAATAATATTATTATTTTAAGAACATCCTTATAATATTGCGAAAAGAAAAATATGTAAATTTTAAAATACTAAAATTAGTAATTTAGAGAAACCTTTCGAATAAAACAAATACAAAAATTAATTGACAAAGGTAGTATATATGTATGTATGTATGTAAGTGTAGTACATGAGCATTCAAATGCGAGCATGCTTGTTTGTATGCAAATATGTATAGAAACGGATAATAATGTTGTTAATCGCTCAAAAATGTCAACAACATGATAACTATAAGAATCGATTATTTATTAATTGTGCGATAGATAAGTAGGTGCAACTCATAAAATTAAATCAATTTTGTATCGTTTTCTTGTTTTTGTTTTTTGGTTTTGTTGGACATATTAACGCTACTTTTAATATTCGACTTCGCTAGTTTTTTGTTTACATATTAAGAACGCCAATATTTGCGGCCTATATGTCCGCCTTCGCTCGGCCTTTAGACATTTTATTTCAAATGATTATGAATTTTTTCTTCAAATATGCATATATTTGTACTGCATGCATATCAAGTTTCTACTGTTGCACCACTTTTTTTTTTGGTTAAGTAGTTCTGTATAAATTTTAATTTTATTCGGTACGCTACCATTTTAAAAACATTGTTTTTCTTAAATTTCCTTTCACTTTAAACACCATTTATCATTCATACATATTTGTATTTATAATTTTACTCATTTCTGTTTGTGTAGCATTGTATAATGATATTGAGAGTACATTCAGAGCGAAAATGATGACAATTTTATTATTTTATAAATTTTTAAACTGTTTTTTAGCATTTTCAGGTGACTTTTAGGGATCGACTTAATATTCCTTTAAATTTATTTAAAAAATATATATATATTTCAAATTTTAAATAAACAACCTTCCCTGTCAATAAACGTAAACTTGAAAAATTATTTACGAAAATTCCACTGCATTAGTCGTGCGTTTAGTTTTAACAAAATCAACTTCAGTACCCATGTCCCTTGTGACAGTTGATCTCAGAATTACTATTCAAAACCAGTTTATCGTTAAATAAAGTGCTCATTCTAACGAAACTTTCATCAGTTGTTATTTTTGGGAAACCAAAATCACGCTCTACTGCACTCAACGACACTTGACAACTATCCACACTTGCACTACCCAACACAAGCCATCACTACTTTAAGCCTGACTCTCATTTCTATTGTCTGCTTGACGATGTATAGCTTGAGCTGGCACAAAGACTTTTTCTGCAGATGGACTGGAAATACCAGTAGCAGCGTCTAAGTAGGATGGTGGTGGTGTCAATTGCCCAGTTCCGGCAACATCTGCAGCGGGCGGAGCAGTAACAGCATCAACACTTTCCAACTCAGTATCCTCAGTGACAGCCTCATTAAGCCGCATTGGCGATGCATTGGCATTTACGTGAACTGTGTTGTTGTTATTCGGTGAATCATTATTATTATCCAACGTGTCGTCAATGGTGACCACTGCTGCACCGACGGTATCCGGTGCATTATTAGCATTATTTACCTGAGCATCGACGCCTTGATAATTTGACATGGCTACCTGATAGGATGGCGGTGGCGCCTGCTTCATATATTGTGCAATGGCCTCATCATAATTTGGCAAAAGTGTGGTATAGGCGCGTTCTTCGCCCGTCAAACCGGCACCACCTAATTCCGGTAAAACACACGGTAGCAAGGTGCGTAGATCTTGTTGTCGTAGCGTAAGATATTTATAGCAACGCCAAACTATACCAATGGCATAGGCTTTCAAAAATACAATGCAAAAGAAAACCACCAACACGATGACCATTAGTTCTTCTTGCGACATTTCAAGCAATTTCTCACGCCATGGCAAGCGATGGGATTCGGCAATTAGACGGTGTATGGCTTGAAGGTAACAGATGTAGCCGGCAGCGGTTAGACTGGGTACAGAGGAAAAGTGAAATGAAAAAAATAAATAAATTCATTCCAAACACTTACGTGGTTATGGCAAAATCAAACAGTTGTAGGCAGAAAAATGGCAAAAGATGTGAGGGTTTACCCTTTAGAGTACCATAAATCATCATCATCGTAATAGCAATCATGCAGGTACAAACCAAGCCGCCCATATCAAAGTTATCTGCAAATTATTTTTCACATATGAATAATAATAAATAGTTTGGCAAGCATTATAGCAGACAAAATATATTTTATTATCACTTACGGTACTGCTTGCGATAGCTTAGCGAATGATCCCGATATGGGTATGGAGGATCCACCTTGCTTAGTGGTGTTGGTAATGGCGGTGCGCTCAAATCCACAGTATAATCGTAGCCACTCTCGAGCTCCTCCATCATGGTCGGATTGCGCCATATAATAGCAAGTAGACTGAGTGCTAATATATTTAGAAACTACGAAAAAAAAGAGCATATAAGAATATATACATAAATAAAAATATGACAACATAATATATTTTATCTAGCTTTCTTGAAATTTATTAACTTCCAAAAGACTTGATACTTCAAAACTTGTTTCTTTAATGTTTTAAAATATGTAGGTTAGATTAGATTAATAAATGAGGATGCACCGCGGTAAGCGACCTAACTTCTCTCCTCAAGTCACAATGTCTCACCTAACCCCAGCAAATTGATAAATTCCAATATACTGATAGATGCTATTGAGGTCATGTGATAGCTATTTGAAAACATTGATCAAAGGGCCTTTGTCCTGCGCCTTTATCCTGTACAGTCAATTGCAGGTGCTCCCACCTATTAGCTCTATATATATTTTAAAAAAACATTTTCAAAATCTCACAACTCGGTTTCGAGTTTTTATTTCGACATAAATACGTAGCTCATACTTTATATTATAAAGATTAAGAATATTCTTCTAAATCGGTATACCCTATAATACTTTTTTAAAATATTGTAAGAGAACAAGCGCGGTTGCAAAGAGTAAAAAAATTAATCGCGGAATTAATATGTTTCTTTTTGAAATCCCGCTTTGAAGTTGTTTTTCTACTATGATATTTCAGTATTTTCAATGAGATATTATGTTTTTGTTCTTGTAATAAGATGTTGACGCACGTAAACCTTGTTTGGGGGGAGATTATATGGCAATTGTTATTGAAATCACCTAACGGCAGGTTCAGGAAACGAGCGGCTAAGTTAGGGCCGATCCATAGGGAAAGGAGTGTTTGGCTGGTTTGATGGGACATGTAAAGCACTCTTAGCAGGCAATGAATTTGTGTAGTATGTCGGAGTCTATTTTGGAAACGAAGTCGCGATAGGATCATGCTTAATTCGCGAAGCAAATCGAGCTCTTCTTCTGCAATAGGTTATGGTTATGCAATCCAAGGACGTCATTCACTGGGTGCTTTTCTGAAGTTAGTTGCGTTAGTGTTGAATATCGTTTATAGGTGCTGCTTACTTCCACAAAATATTTGTCTACATTTTCCTACGCTATTTTTTGCTTTACTACACAAAAAGAAAACGATAGCATAAATATCTGTCTCAGAAGTAATTTTAGTGTCATCAGTTGCAGGCATGTTTTGGTGTGTGCGTGCGCATATATTAAAATGGACGTATCCGCAGTTTATTAGCGCGTCATCACGCTTTTAACACGCTACCTTAGACATCTGCTTCGAATGCGAAGTGAAAAGTGCTTGTTTGATAAATGTGTATTTCTAGACACATTGAAATTAAAATTAATATACGATTTTTTTTAAATGAATTTACATATATTGATGTCAATTAATCTTAAAATATTTCGTTTACATTTTAAATACATGTATCTGAACAAATAATTTGAATTTTTATAGATTTTTAGGTATTTGTATATGTTATCAACCTTAGAATTCGTTTTAAACTTAATTTTCACAAAAGTACCATTTGATAAATAATGTTGAACTTGTAAAAAATTACACAGTAAATGAAAAAAAATTTATTTACATAAAAACCTAAATAATTCGGTGTTCGAAATAAATGGAGTGCATCAGAAAATTCAATAAAACTAATATAAAATTAAAAAATTGGGAATAACGACTAGTATATAAGTTAATTTAGTTAATATTATATTTAGTCGTGTAACCGCCATTTTTTATTACTGCAGCACATCTGTGGTACATGGGATCGATCAGATCACACCATTTCAGCGGGATTTGCTGCCATGCCTCGTGGACTGCTATTTTTTCGGCGAAATGCGCTCTGCACCTGAATCGTGCTGGCATTGAATCCAACCCGGGCCCCTAGGAATTTTTCTGCTGCGTATGCGCAAAAAGACCCCATACAAATTCCACATCGGTCAAGTGCAATACAAGCAATGGATGGAGCCATCTTAAGACCTGTTCAGGCCTTTAGACCCATAGGGAGTGGACCATGCGTTACGTGGCCCTATGTTGCCTGCACAATACTGCGACAAAAGCCTCTACGGCTGTGCAATATACACATAGTTCGCGCGCCGCGCCACCACTCAACCTGAGTGGCCAACAGATGACCTCCACAGTCAGGAGCTCACACAGGCAACATAGCTCCCACTCTGACTTGTAACCCCTCCCCCGCCAACCTCCATCCCGCTCCAATCCTCGTGCGAGAACCAATCAGCAACTCTTGGTTCCTCGCACAGTCTGTTCCGTGTGTCAGACCGTCATACGTCGGAATGTTACATCAGTCAAGTGCAATTCCTGCACTGGCTGGTGTCACTTTCCGGCGTGTTCCGGCCTGCGCACGACACGTAAGTGGAGTGAATCCTACGTTGCCCCATACTGCAGGAGTCTGCCCCCACAACACACTACAGTGGCGTCGCCAACAAACACCCCAGTGCGACAACCGCCCCTACGGTTTCTGCAGCTCCAACAATACCACCTACACGTCACTCCCTCACCCCCAGGATCACTCACGGACACCCGCGACAAATCCGAATACTCCAATTTAACTGCAACGGTCTCCAGAGCAAGACTGAGGAGATAGTTGCACTTATGAATCGAGAACGTTTATTGATAGCTGGGATCCAAGAAACCAAGTTACACAGCCGCTCAGTTGTGCCGGTTTCAACATATACATCCCCCAAGTTACATGTTGCCCTACTGGATACCCGAATATAGGTGCGCTACTTCGTGGTGAGAACCGTTTGGAACTAGGCGACTATAACGCGCATCACGATCTTTGGCATTCCAGCCTGTCAAACTGGCGGAACAGATTGACGATTCGACATTCTGCACAATGAATGCGAGTCCTCGCATGATACTGGCCACCTCTTTGCATGCCCTACAAACCCTACTCATCTAACACCCTCTTCCCTTTGGTCCGACCCCGTCGAAACAGCACGTTTCCTGGGCCTCCCGTTAGATGATCTCGACGACAACACAAATAACCCTTACCACCCAAACGGGGATTAGATAACCGTTAAAACAACAACAACAACTAGTTATGTGGCCCATGTTCCCTACGCACGATTTTAGCCTCTGCGGCTGTGCAACCTGCACCCAGTGGCCAACAGAGGACATCCACGGTCCACACGAGCTCAAACAGGCAACATAACTCCTATTTTGACTTTACCTTTGAACGGGGGTTACGCAGCTTCAGACTTGTCAGACATGTCTCTAATTGAACACCTACATAGTGAGGCGCTTACGCTTCCAATTAAGGAGCATAATCCACTCCTCTCCAGGCAGTTCCTGCCGAAGTGTTTTCGTAGAAGTTGTCGCGAAGCAGATTAAACTGATACTCATCTAAAATAGACACCGACACAGAAACTTTATGTCAATCCGCTATAGCCACTCACTTAATATCCTTTTCCTTTTGGCCAGGTCCCATCGAAACAACCAGTTTCCTGGAACTACCGCTATGTGATTTGCATGACACTTTATTTTTGACTTGCCCCAAGCAGGGCTTAGTTACTCGCGACAACAAGAACAAATGGCCCATTTACATAAAACTTTTTGTAAATAACCATTAACTGCGACAAGATCATCAACAATAAATTGCAAGTATGCATACATGTATTTAGTGATGCATTATTATATCACACTTTACAGATAAGAAGTATGAAGCTAGTGTTATCATTTGAATAATGGCTTTCTTATTACCCCTACCACACACTATTTGTTAATATACACATACAGAATCACAAAAGCTACAGCACAATAAAAAACAACTAAAAATTTAGTTAATAAGCAGCCACTCAGGTGTGTAATCACTACAATGGATAATAAGCATTGTAATGGAGAAGCAATGGCAACCAGCTTTTAAATACATATAAAGAAAAAATAATAAAACTCATTCGTGTATATCAAGTACATCCATATGTAAGTACTTATCACTATATATAATAAAAGAGATTCACCAACCGCTGTCGTAGTATTTATTATCTTTGTATACTACATTTGAGCTATACACACTAGCTTGACTGCCACATCTGTAAACAAACAAGTGACTAATGTCTTCAAACACTTTCAACTCAAAATAATTTGTTGTCAGTTAAACAATTACCACTTAAACAACACTATATAATAAGTTATCGGTGAACCCGTAAATTTCATTTGAGCTTCGATTTCAAGCGCTATCTTGACAATTTTTATGAGAATATGTACACATTTATATACATAAAATTCTATCAAGTAAACATTATATATATACATATTATATGTGGACTCGTGCACTAAGAATCCTTTTCATTACAGTTGTCTTAACTCTGAGTAAGTTTGACAATATGCGCTAGACTTCTATTATCTTGTGAGTCAGCATACTAAAAAAATTATTTGTATGTTAAATGGCAAATAACAAATTTGTACAGATTTGATGTGCAGGTATAAATCTTTTAGATACAAATATTTACCAACAACACGCGCAATATGTGGTAAACAACAACCAAGCTTAGATTTAAAACATACATTTCAGTTTAAAATTGGGTACTGTGGGCAAAAGATAGTAATTTTTAAATAATTTTTTTCTAGGTTGGTATGACTGTCAGCGACATCTGTACTATGTGACACTTGGATGACTAATGTTTGTTATACGCCTGTCTTTCTGAAGGATATAAACTTCAGAAAACTTTAATAATACACTTAGGTAATGGATTTTATTAGAACTGCTTTTGAAACGGTGTGTTAAAGTTTTAATCCCTTTTTGTAGTTTTATTATTATTGTAAACAATAATATATTATTAATATTTTTGATTACTCTAGTTACAGTAGCAGCTTTTATAAGGGAATAATAATTACTACACTTTTAAAGTTGTTTTTTGTTTTTAAGGAGTGCTGCTCAGAGATGTGATTTACTTTCAGCAACCAATCAATGAATCTCAACCACTACAACACTATGCACCGCCAATTCCATTCTTTACACTACATTTGCCACCGGCAAGAAAGTTGCTGCCCAAATTAAACAAAGGGTAAATTTTAGAATAGCATCCACCGATTTCGAGTGCTTTATGGTTGTTTAGTTCATTCGGGTTGAACTTCTTTTTGCATTTGAGGCCTTCTGCCGCGCTCCAAATAAATAACCCTGCTCAGACCAACAACTGGGTGTTTTGAGTTCCTTCCCCCTGAACTCCCTTCTGCGTTGGCTGCCTTCGGCCTCGCTTCAAAAAAATAACTCTAGTGGGCTAACACCAAGGCGTTTTCAGTTCTTTCGCGTTGAACTGCTTTCTGCGTTGGCTGCCTTCGGCCAACCATTGCAACCATTTTCTTATTGTATGAACAAACGTTTTTTAAAGAAAATTAAATATGGTATTAAGTTATTTGTGCGATATTTAACAAAAAATAAAGGGTAAATTTTAGAATAGCATTCCCGGATTTCGGGGTAAAATGGGTATGTACGGATAGAGGAGGTCTTCTAAATTAAGAAAATGTATATACAGTTTTGCCTTTTTTTTATATCCATTGTAATCATGACTGATGATTATTTATATAAATCAAAAGTAATTACAATAGTTTTAGCAGTTTTTTGGCCTGCCATTTGTTGCTATTATTGTCCCTAGACACCGATGTATGCTCTCCACTCAATTTCTACAATTATTTCCGGATATTTTGATCCACTAAGTCCTTGATCCAGCTTTTTTGTCTTTTTTTGATGAAATTTGATGTTTTCCAATACGATTTTCCAAAAAGTTCCACATCTTTTGAATAAGATTAATGTCTAGTGATTGGTGGACCCATGGAGTTATTTCTATTTCCATAAAAACCCTGAACGTATAAGATACAATGTGTATTTTGGGTCGGTATCCTGTTGGAAATTGATTTTGCTGTTTTTAACAGCCGATTTAAGCACTCTTAAAATTTAAATTATTTTGTTAAAATTATCAGAAACATGTGTTTATCCATTTTCGAAATGTATACAAAAAAAAAAAATCCCCAAACAGTAGCAAATATATGGAATAGTCCTGGTTATCATAGACGAATCGATCGTCGTCGTAAGCCATACATAAGTAAGGTTAATAAAAAGAGGTCGACGGTTGCTAGACAATATTTTAACAAACCGTATTGGTTTTGGGAAAACATTGTGTTCACCGACGAATCAAAATTTAATATATTTGTTACAACAAGATCACGAAAAATGTGGAGAAAGATCAATGAAGAGTCAAAAGGAAAAAATATATTGCCACGAAAGGGGTTATGGTTTGTGGGTATGTGGGTCAAAATATCCGGAAATAATACTAGAAATTGAGTGGGGAGCATACATCGATGTCTAGGGACAATAATAGCAACAAATTGTAGGCAAAAACATGCTAAAACTTATTAAATTACTTTTGAGTTGCTTAAATAATCATTGGTGCACGAAAACTTGCTTGATATAAATTAGGCGCCATTTCAACTTTAGCACTAATTTTTTTTGTTTGTTTAAAAAAAAAATATTTTGATATGCTATATTTAATGTTAAATATACATATCTTGAAATGGCTGGAAAAAAGACACAAAATTTATTCATTTTAAAACAAATAAACGTGTCGTGTTAGAACTAGGTGTTTGTAAACCTTATTGGTCCACTGTATATATAGTTGCCGCTGATTTATGGGTTTTGAGATATTTGCATTTAAAGTTCAAAAATTCAACTATTTAATATGCGTGTTTCTCCCATTTATAATGAATTTTATTGTTATGTGTTTAACTTTTATATCCACTTACACTTCACTAATTCGTTTCTAAACATATAGTTTATATTAAATAGTGCAAAAACAACTTTTATTCAACATTTAACTTTTGTTCAATTATTTTTGTTCACATAATAACAAAAGAGATGCATTCTAACTAATAATCAGTGCTACCTTTCGTTCATATTTCACAGAAGAAGGAAAAGAAATAATCCTTCGGCCGAACTTCAATAAAATCAGCCGTTTTTTCGTTGAAGTCCTTTTCTTTCTTTTTTCTTATTTTTATTCCATTACAAAATATGGTAACACTAATTTGTTTACAACCATTCTTTTTTTTTTTAATAAATATTTTAACTAAAGTTTGATATGGAAATTAAGTTATTTGCAATATTTAATATAAAATAAATTATTAGAAACGATTTAGTGAAGTGTTATGGGTATACAATTTTAAACGCATTTTAAATAGTTGATTTTTTGAACTTTAAATGCAAATATCTCAAAAACCATAAGTCAGCGGCAACTATATGTATATATATTCTTGATCTTCCTCTATCCGTACATACCCATTTTAACCCCAAAATACGAGGAAGCTATTCTAAACCGCAGTCAAAAATATATATAGAAAATATATAGAAACAAATTAGTGAAGTGTTAGTAGAAATAAAAGTTAAATATATAAGTGTAAAATTCGTAATAAATTTTTGAACTTTAAAGGTAAATATCTCAAAAACCATAAGTCAGCGGCAACTATATATGTATATGTATATTTTCTTGATCTGGAATACCTCCTCTATCCGTACATAACCATTTTAACCCCGAAATCTGGGGATGCTATTCTTAATCTCAACCTAAACAAAAACTGCACCACTAAAATCCCACACAAACCAGATAGCGCATAAATAAAATTTTGTGCAATTAGCTATATCGATATATATGTGTGTATTTTATCAATCTTACCAAATGCCAGAGGCCAATCATAATGGTGGCTGTGTGGACATGCAAACCAAAGCAGCACGTCCATTCCTTATAACGCTGTTGTGGACCCATTTTGATGCGGATCCTTAGCATCGAAAACCCGTATTGGCGTGCTGCTATTTACTGAGTAACCACTTAACTTCAGCTAATTGTATACTAGTGCACTGATGAAATAAAAAACGCAGATAAATCCACATTCACATAAATGTTACTACGTTAGTTGCCATTGAAAGAGAAACGACATATGTAAGTACAAAATACAATTTCCTTTACATGTCGTCAACGTAACCAACTTATATATTTTTGCATTTTCAATTACCTCTGAGATTTAAGTTTACACAACTACAACTTTTAATAATAATATTTACTATTTTCTGGATGTAACAGCAGCGAGGAATGATCACTAATTTTCACCAGCAAAGCAAAAAAAAACGCAATACAGAAAAATTTACCAAATCTCAATAATAAACAGTGTTGCATTAAGCGCAATGATGCCACCAATATCCAAATTTCAAACAATGCCGACATGATAAAATTTATGTCATGTGTGAAACACAATGCTAGCGACAGACTGCAGCAGCACGACAATGAACTGAAAATGGCGTTGTGAATCCTACTACAAGAACGTTTGTGAGGGGGCAGCAACATAACAATAGCATGTACACAAAACAACGCAGTTGTCCATTTTGCATGTACACAATTTCGTTGTGGCCATACTAATACCTTGAACTTCAATGAAATTTTAATATTTTGTTCAAAGTGAAATTTTTAAGCAAAAAATAAGTAAATAGGTAAATTTGTTTGTTTTAAATTATAAATTGTTATTATAAACGATGTAACAGAGCTATTTTATGCTTTTATTTGTAAAATAACGTCGGGTTTGTTAGAGCTTTGAGTAATATTATATTTTACATATTAGTGGCATCACCACTCTACCTCATCTCTCTATCTTCCATTCTACTGTCAACTCTACTGTCGTCCTACTATCGTTGGCAAATATAGGATAAAATTGAAGTTAGCGAGAACGACAACTGTCGGCCTGCCGTCGTGTAGTCGTACAGCTGTCAAAATGGGTCCGTCCATAAGAACGTGTGTATTTTAATATTTGACAGATGTCGTTTGCAGTCTGTCGCGAGCATTGTATTCAACACATCATCCTAATTGTATTACCGGAGACTCCATATTACTTATGGAAAGCAATATATGGAATACTAATAAGTATGCCATATATGGAAAGCAATAAGCTATCGCTTCAGCAGTTTGACAGCGCAGATTTCATTTCTATGAAAATTTAGAAGAGGCAACATATCCATTTCGGTAATATTAATTTAGTATAGCGTATATTAAGACGGTATGTTATATAATAAAATTAAAGTGCATTTTAAAAATAACATTTTTTAAAAATTAATATTTAGCTTAATATTGCTAATTTACAGAAAAATTAAGGAAAATGGGTTGGGAATGAGCGATGTCTTAAATTTAATAAACTTATGCCAGCATAAATAAAAATATCATTGCTCATATCAAATGATTGTGTTACGGTAACAAATGCCACCATACAGATTTGACAATGACAATAGCAATAGATTTGACAGTTAGTATGCCATAAATTTTATCCTGTCGAGAAGTCCCGTTAAAGTGAATTGTGTCCCATAACACACACTTACCGATTCAAACGGGGTTAGATTGCCCATGTTGCGATCTCAGTATATACAGTTGTGGCGATAACAAAATACCACACTTTAATATTTAAAAGATTATTTATTAAGATAACTTAAAAAACTTGTTCACTTGTTGGCGTCTGTACCAGAAGTGACGTTTCTTAAAACTAAAAACTTATGTGCGGAACACAATTCTCGCGCCAGACTGCAGCAGCACGACAGTGAACTGAAAATGGCGTTGTGAATCCTACTACATGAACGTTTGTGAGAGGGCAGCAATATAACAATGGCCAGCATGTACACAAAACAAAACAACGCATACTAATACCTTGCACTTCAATGAAATTTTAATATTTTCTTCAAAGTGAAATTTTTTATGCAAAAAATAAGTAAGTAGGTAAATTTATTTTTTTTAAATTGTCAATTGTTATTACAAATGATATAATACAGCTTTTTGATGCTTTTATTTGCAAAATAACGTCGGATTTGTTAAAGCTTTGAGTAATATTACATTTTGCATATTAGTGGCATCACCACTCTACCTCATCTCTCTATCTTCCATTCTACTATCAATTCTACTGTCGTTGGCAAATATAGGATAAAATTGAAGTTAGCGAGAACGACAACTGCCTGCCGTCGTGTAGTCGTGCAGCTGTCAAAATCGGTCCATCCATAAGAAGGTGTGTATTTTAATATTTGGCAGATGTCGTTTGCAGTCTGCCGCGAGCATTGTATTCCACACTTGAAGCGAAAGTAAGCAAAAGTTTATGACTGCAAACGACATCTGTCAAATATTAAAATACACATGTTCTCATTGACACAGTTAATTTGACAGCTGTCGGACTACATGACTGTCGGACGACAGTTGTCGCTCTCGCTAACTTCAATATATTTTTATATTTGCCAACGACAGTAGAGATTTGAAGTGGAGTGGTGAAGCCACTAATATGTAAAATGTTTTATAAATAAAAGCATACATAGCTGCATTATACCATTTTTAATAACAATTGATAATTTAAAACAAAAATATTTCGCTTTTTACTTATTTTTTGCTTTAAGGGTTGGCCACAGCGAAATTGTGTACATGCCGGCCATTGTTATGTTGCTGCCTTCTCACAAATGTTCATGTAGAAGCATTCACAACGCCATTTCAGTTCACCACATCTTCACCACTCTACCTCATCTCTCTATCTTCCATTCTACTGTCAACTCTACTGTCGTCCTACT